AACCATGTAGGAAAAGTAGAGCTGGAGAGCAGAGAGGAAAAAACTGAGGTACTCCTCCTCAAAAAAATAAATAAATAAAAATAAAAATAAATTTAAAAAGGAGAGGGAGGAATGTGTGTGATGTTGGAAGAAAGAGAGTAAGACAAGTAGAAGCAGCAATTATAGATAGTGAAAAAGCACACGTCAACACTAAAATAGGACTTGAAGAAAAAAGGAAACATAATTTCACTTTTACTTTGATAAGCTAAAATCACCAGTTTTGTATTCCGTGCAGGAGCCACTAAAAATTTTCAAAGCCGCATTGCATGGTGATGACAGTCATATATAATACTTGCTCACCTACTTGGGGTGGGTGCGGGGACCAACACTATGATCTGATAAGAAGTTACCTGCCTGAGATTATCAACACCAAGCTTCAAGAATAACCTACTAAAGAATTAGGCAGAAAAATCTGTATGTAAGTTTACCCAATTAAAAACGAGAAAGACTTAACATTTAAAGTAAAATAATTTCTGTCCTAAACTGGCAATATCCTTGTATTTTCTTTGACAGGTCTCCCTCATCTCTACAGGTTTAACAACTCTGATTCTTGGAATTGTAATGGCGAGGGCAATTTCATTGGGTCCACACATGTAAGTTTTGTTGTTATATTTGTTAGTCTTTGGTTTATAGCCTTCACATAGATACTTAGAGGGCATAGATGCAGAAATATAAAGTAACCATGGTATCAGAAATATCATTTATCTTTGGTATTTGACAAAATGAGGTAAAATAATTACAGGTCGGTAAACATGCATTTTTCATTTGGACTCTACAAAACTGGTAGAATTAAACCAGGTTTACTTATTATTTTAATGGCCGAAACAATTAGAATAAGAAATAATTAGAATTAGAATAAGAAAGGAATTTTGAATAGTTGAAAAGAGGAACAAAGTTTCACTAATTTAGACTGAAATAAGAAGAATAAGGGACATAGTGGATGTTTTTATCCACTAAACAAAATGAGAACACTTTGAAAACCACCCTTTATTCTCTTCTGATTATTTTCCTTAATTATTTTGTGTTAAAATACTCCATCATTTGTGAACTAAAGATAAAAACTGATAGTGGTATTTGTTTCTTTTTACTGTTATTATTTGGTCAGGTAAAATGTTGACAAATTGGTATTAGTTCCCCCAATTGTAAAAATGTTATTCATTCATGAAATTTAAAAGTGTGTGTATTGTCAATCTAAACTACACTGTGTGTATGCTTTGCTTATACAGTACATTCCCCAGATACGGACTGGGCAGTTCATAGTCACGGTCCCAAGAAAATGCTAGAATGAAACCAGCTTAGATAGGCTTTAAACACTGAATTTGGTTTCCACAATTCACAATAAATATTAGTTGAATAAATAAATAATACATTAAGGAGTTTCCAGGGTATCTTAAATGTTTTCTCTAAGCAAGACAAAGAAAAATTAATTTAAGATGTAATATTTAGCACAGTGCAAGGAATACTGGGTTTTTAATGAATGACATCTGTAAGAAAAAACATAAAAGGAAACCTAATGAATAGCCCTAATTGTTAATGCAGTGGCCAAGGTAATTTATGTTTTCTCATTGATTAATTGTTGCTCTGCAAAATTAATTCATTTTCCACTGATAGGCTTCTTAATTTATCAGGAAAATACCAAAACAAACAAACAAACAAAAAAGACCTCAGGCTAATTGGGGAAAAAGCATGAAATATCTATGAAATATCCCGTCTAAGTGCATTTGATATAGCCTTTTCTTTGAAAAAGCAAATGCGTATTTTTAAAGGATTGAAGTAAAGGAGAGAAAGCATAAATATCTGTAATGTTTATATTTTTTTTCTTCAAATAATTTAATCCTGATTCACAGTTGCATTGGTCATCTCAGAATAACAAAAAAATATATAAACCAAGTAATGTGAAATGACAGAAATGTATTTTCTCATAGTTCTGGAGGCTGGAAGTCAGAGATCTGGGTGCCAGCATGATAGGATTCTGGTGAGGGCCATCTTCCTCCCTTGTTGAGGGCAGTCTTCCTGCTGTGTTCTCATATGGCAGAGAGAGACAGCAAGATTTCAGGTGTCTCTTCTTATAAGGGCACCAGTCCCGTATTGAGGGCTCTACCCTTCCCTCATGCACTTATCTAACCCTAATTATCTCTCAAAGTCTCCCAAAGGTCTCAACTCCAAATGCCAGCACAGTGAGAGTTAAGGCTTCAACATGTAAATTTGGAGGGACACAATTCAATTCATAGCATTAGTGGTTTTTTTGTTTTGTTTTGTTTTTACCTTTTTTTGGAGACCGCGTCTCATTCTGTCACCCAGACTGGAGTGCAATGGTACAATCATAGCTCACTGCAACCTTGAACTCTTGGGTTCAAACAGTCCTCCTGCCTCACCCTTCTGTGTAGCTGGGACTGCAGGCATGTGCCATCACACTCGGCTAATTTTTTCTTTTATTTTTTTGTAGAGATAGAGTCTTACTATGTTGCCCAGGCCAGCCTCGAACTCCTGACCTCAAACAGTCCTGCCTCAGCCCCACGAAGTGCTGGGATTAACAGGTGTGAGCCACCATGCCTGGCCTACGTTAGTGGTTTTGAAACGCGCCTCTTTCACTTCAATATGGCCATTTATTCATTCACTTTAGTAAACACTTATTGAGTTTCTGTTGTTTCCAGTGATTGTGTTGTGCCCTGAGAGAAAAAGCAGAGAG